GTGNCACACACACACACACACACACACACACACACACACAAACACACACACACACACACATATATATATATTTTAAATATATATATAAATATATATGAATACATATATATATACAAATATAGACATATAGACATAGATATATAGTTATATATATAATTGTGAGTACAACTATATATCTATCTAAATGCAAAACTAACAAATCCAAACTGGAATGTACTAAACCTTTACTGAGTATCAAAGTAGTGTACTAGCTCCCAGAAACTATGAAGACTGATCACTTCGTGGTATCTACAGCCCTCGCCCATATGGCGCCTACTACAGGTTAGTTCCTCTGACAAGACATCCGGCAACCGTGGGAGGAAATATGGGCGAGGGCTAACGTATATACCTAGATACTATGAAGTGATCAGTCTTCATAGTTTCTAGAAGCAAATACATTACTTCAATACTCAGTAAAGGTTACATACATTCCAGTTATACTAGATACACACACACACACACACACATATATATATATATATATATGTATTATATGGAAGCAGATGCATGCACACATAAATATATAGATATACTCATGCACGTATAGATAAATACAGACACAGACACAGCCACACAGATACATACATATAGAAACAAATACATAGATACATGAATAAATTACATACATAGATACATTAATACAAATACATACATCGATACATGAATACAAATATATACAGAGATACATCCATACCGACATCCACTCACCCCCCCGACCACACAAACACACACACACACACACGCACACACACACATATATATACATACACATGCACACACACACACATACACACACACACATATATATATATTAATATATACATATATATATATAAATTCATACATATACACATACATACATACACACACATATTTAAAAGAAAACGATTTTGAGTGTTTGCGAATAGTTATTTAGACATCACCGGTTGCGGGTTGGCTTCTCAGATTTTTTTGAGTGCTTGCACTCATTCAGTATGCTGGAAGCAACCTTCAAGATAAGTTTCTCTGTGCAGAGCTAAGTTGGATATCCCTTTAAAAGAAACATACAGCACAATATGTATTTCAGATATCCACACCTGTGCAATTTCGCCTACAATTGCGGCACGTTCCGATTCGTACGCTTTCGTGGCGTCAAACTGAGCGTGCATCTCGCTGTGGCAATTCCACTGATTGCTATATTAAACGACTGTTCAGCACAAGTATGCTTTTTGGTATAGAGAGTAGCTGGTCAATATTTCAGCGCTTTCCTGAAGTTGTAAATATTGTATGTATTGTGGTCATGCGGTGTCTGTATGATAATGTGACTGTGTCAGCCTGGTCACTGGGGTCTGGAGTCACTGGAGTCTGGACGGTCCACTTTTTCAACGTCAATAACAAGGTGTCCATTTTCTAAATATTCAATTTTTTACAATAATTGTAAAACTTTAATATTAATAAAACGTTTATGCGGGCAAAAAAACGAAAATATATTCGACCTATTGCCCTGGTTTAGCGAATATGCTGAGGTAATGTCGAGAAATTGTGGACCCTAAAGGCTCCGAAAATGCACCTGTAGTAGGGCCGTCACGGTGTCAACGTTATATTTTTTATGTGTATGCACTTTAAAAAAAAACAAATATACGTTGTCAAAGTGAGAGTTCTGACAGTCCTATAGACTCCTACAATCCTACATACTCGGACTCGTAGCTGTCAGTAGCGGGTACATAGCGTAAGTAAATAAGTCGTATCTCCCGCTAAAACTAACTGACTGTCCGAGGGCCAATTATATTACGCTGTTCATCGGTCATCATTCCTGCAGAGTGCAGGGCAGGGAACTAAATAAAGCTAAACTCTAAAGTCTAAAACTCTAAAAAGACTCCCAATGTATCAATGTTTGTATTTATATTTATTTTTATAAATACATACATAGAGCCTAGGCTACATTAGAAAGTTTATTATTTATGATAGCCACTGCGTCATACAATGGATAAAGGTTTAAATTTTTTTGCAACCACAGAGTAATTTATTTGCAACTTATGTCCTTTTAGCGTCAGCAAAAGCCAAGAATAGATGTATCTCTAGGTTTTCCGAATTTGGGTACTTAAAAAGGTATATGATTGGCAGTAGGTCCTTCAATCTTTGGAGAGTCGGATTCCAGGCTCCAGCAGTCCAACCTCCCGGCCAATCCAGGGATTGCTCACTTCGATGCATCAAATACTTACACTCATAACTCAGGCCTCCAGGCCCCAGCTACTAGAGAGAGAGAGAGAGTCTGTCGCTTCCGAGTTCAGAACTTCGGAAGTTCGGATGCGATGTGTTTTATACATACACATTCGATTTTCTGTCGGCACTTAATTTGACTCAAACAAATCCTCTATTGTTGTGAATTCGCGATTGGAAAGCGAGATATTTTACACTTTGACATAATTGTGTATTTACCTGTGCTTTCCATGGAGCCTTCTACCCCCCGGAGTGAGCCCAGTCTGTCCGGATACTGTTTTATAAAAAAAAATACGGGTTTTGTCCGGATACACAGTTTTTTTAAAGCGTTGATCTGATGTTTGTAGATGATATAATACACGACGTTGCAGAGTTCCGATAAAGTACGCGGTGGTGAAGGCAAAAACGATGACCGCAAAAGTACGAGTAACAACAAGAAGCAAATATTATAAAGTGACAAACAGCAGAACTTTCGTAGACAAGAGTTTATAAATCTTAGTGTCATGTACTGGCTTTTTTCAAGCCAACTTCCCTTTTTAAAAAAGGAGGAATAGACTAGGTATATAATGACTCCCCCGCATTGGAAATCAAGCACAGATAATAACTAATAAAGTTACAAACTGGAACGCCCACCTCTCTTTTATCCATAATGAAACTATCTACCGAACTCAATTTTGGTCTCTTTTGCGTATTGATCACACTCGGCAATGCGCATTACAATCGAAGCCAACCCGAGGTTTTAATCTCTGCACCAGTGCTCAGCGATGATGAGCGCGAGCTCGAGATGCGTTCTGAATTGTACAGTACTGTGTATCGTGCCGGCGTTGATGCCTTCGTATGTGGTAGATATAGATATGAATCCGGTTACAAATAACCCGGGCTGAACCCACTGTCGGCGTGGCTGCTGTCGTGTCAGTTCTTTCGTTCTTATCATGCTATTCTATTTCGATTGGTCGAATGTAAAATAGTAAGCGAGGGAGGGAGGATGCACACGATACAGCAAATCGACGACGGTGTGGTTCAACACAAACAAACAAACGTGGGGGGCCTCCGGAAGGGGTACTTGGGCGAGAAATTGATATGGGAAAAAACTCTGAAATCTAAACTGTACAAGTCTATCATATCGCACTTCCAAACAACACTAACCCTTGTATACTATGTATATACTATGTCAGTCGAATTTGATGAATAAAAGCGATGTGTAAACTGCCCTCGCCTTTCATAGGCATACTTATTTTAACCTTTCGACGTCGGACCGAAGTATCAGCCTGATTAATAGAATCGGCTGATATGTAAGTTCTCATAGGCGTTTGTAGGTGGGAATTTCTTAGCCCAAGTCCACGTATAGATGTATAAATTCGGTTCCAGGGGTTAATTGGAATGCTGATTCAGTTCTTGAATTTAACTTATAGGTGAAGACGCACAAATAATGCGAATCAATTCGCGTGTATCCAAAAAAAGAGGTACTGCATGCCGTGCTAAATTCCCCATTGTTGTTTCAGGGGGACTATGGACTGTACGAGCGTACAAGATCTTGGAACTATAGGATACAAAAACGCAGTTTGCAATTACATCCCTATATTGCGAGGACTGATACACATGATCCAACGATACCTGCTTTGCTTTATTATCTCTGATGACAATATAGGAATATACTATGGGTCGATCTTCTACAACAACCATATAATAATGGTTCCGTAGAATAAGTGTGTGGATCAATCACGTATAAGATGTAAGACGCGCCGGGGTATGTGAAAATGGTCGCATTCTTTTCTGCAATCGATTGCGATGAGTACTAGTTCTTTGAATATAGCCAGTATTTATACAATCGTCGATGAAATATTTTTCTTCCACAGATGAGCAGTAAAAATATAGCTTCTAGAGTTCCTCTTGCACTTCCGTCATGAATATCTGCGAGAAGAGCAAAACTATTAAAGTACAGCGCTCTCAGTATGGTAGACAAGAGCATTGTCTATATAACAAATGTAAATTCAAATGAATTTTATAATTTTGTTTGAACGCGTACCAGGTGTTCATTTTTTGAAAAGTACTAAATTCAGAGAGTCAGGCACATAAATTTTAAAATAAGGCGGAGAACACAACTTTAATATATTTTACATGCAGCGCAGTCCTGAGCGTGTCATCAAGTTTCCCAGGCAGGATTTCAATATCACTACTATAATATACATATATACAAACAAATTCCTTATCATTCTCCTTTCATTTTACTATCCCTGTTCGTTTCTGTATCCGCAGACCGATTGAATTTACACACGCTGTTCTTTTCTCAGAATTATGTAATTATTACTCCCGTCCCAAGCAAAGTATAACTCAGTAGCATTTCCCGCCTCCTCCTGGCATACCAGAGTTCTCAAAACCATTCTCGCAGCCACCATATGCACATTTCGAAAGTCCTTGTATGCAGCACACTTCAAACCCAGCCTTACAGTTGTCGGTAAGCGAGCATCTCACAGGCACCTCGGTTTGATGGTCGACAAAGTATCCCAGTTCACTCTCCGCGCATTTACCGTCGTTCGCAATCGTGCCCGAGGTACTACTGAACGAAGGCGTACACGAGGGAGACAGACAGAAGGGTACATCGGGACATGCCTCGCACTTGTTTGCTGTGAATATATCGGCCACTCTTTGCCCTGTCGGACAGAAGTTTATCACTTGTCTCTCCCCCGGTTTCACGATAGGGTAGGCCTTGCCATCGCCAAATGTGCAAGGGGCTGGGAAATTGTTCCGCTTGTGATTGGTGTACGTGGATACCGTATGCAAACGGTAACCGTCCAAGCGCTCGTACCTGGTGGCAGTCCCGGCACAAACATGCTCGAGACATGGTAGATCGCACACCTTGAGTGTAATTACAGTCGTATCGTCGTCCGTAGCGTCCTGACTAGTACCACCGGTTATGCGCCAGCAAGCTGATGGTATGTCAGCTTTGGTGTTATAACACCAATCATAGCTCTCCACACCTTCGGAATCTACTCCGATGATTTCGAGGTACCCCAGTATATATGCAATGGCCAACTCGTCGTCCACCAGACTGCCCTGTTTGACAATCGTCACATATCCTCCATCGCACCAGAAGCCCTCAGTAGGCTCGACGATTGAGGTTACTGTGAGATGAATAAACTCAAACTGAGTCTCTGTTTCAGTTGCAGCTGCAGTTGGGGACACCTTGTCCCACCATTCGTCGACAATGTGACGTGCGTGCGGCATCGGATGTTTTTTTTCTGGAATGCTATTCTTCTCGTTCTGTGGAACTGCACCATCAAAATCTGCGTTTAAAGGTTTGTTTTGCACCAAATCTCTGCGGTGGTCCCACCAGCTCTCCCCGTGTTCTTCATTGTACGTCTCAACTGGTTATGAGGGGAGTAGGTGATATTAAGTACGAATTAGTCTTGAGAAATACTTCAAACATGGCTTTTATAACAATTTCCTACACATCGTTCCAAATGAGCGCGTAGCTAGGCTTTATGCGCCTTGATTGTGGTGATTAAGTTAATGTCTACGGCCTGCACGCATTGTAATAATTTTTGTCTGCTTTTCTTTCTTTATTCTATAGATGATAGGTTCGACAAACAACTGTGCACCCAATTTTGTTGTGCTGTAAGCTCATCACAGATACATACAATCACAGAATAGGTAAATCGACAGGTATTCTCCTCACAAGACACACATGGTAGGCTACTGCTGGTGACAAACGTGTGTGACTCAGTAGCTTATTTAGGTCACTTTTTTTGCAATACTACTTATTGGCACTTTTATGCACCAGAATATAAGACTGGAAGAAGTATAGTCTGTGGTTGGAATACTGACACGCAAAGTGCTAGTTGTATAATCTCACGTTGAAAGCGAGCAAAGGAGAGATAGGAGGTTTACTCTTTGGGTTTGAAGTCGAATCCACTATCGAATAGTACGAGAAATAATTTAAATGCGCATTTAGAAGTCCTCAAAGTATGAAACCTGAGCATATGCATTTCTTTGAGTTGCATTAGGAAGGGGGGGGGTTTTTTTTTTGAGAATTGCACTCACCGGACAGATCATAATTAGGGACTTGAGATTGCACCTGGAAGGCGTCAGTCGCAATTTCAGTTTTCCGTATTGCTCGTGTGACTTCGAATTCAAAAACTTGGGAACGAAAAATATGCAAACTTTTACAGAGCTAAGTAACAAACTTCCTTTAAGCTAAATTCGAACAAACTCAGATATTTTATCTGCTGGTTGGACACTGTTTTATTGCTCCTCTTAAGTGCTATTAAGGCGACGATACTGCATCTAATGAGTCTACCTGTTATCGTATAACAGGCATCAAGAACTGTTTAAGATAGCATTCAGTCAATTACAACCACAAATACATATAATTTCTCGGTTCGTGTTGTTTGCACCTACAAAAAGATACACAGTTCTACATTAACAATCGATCAAATCTACACAGACATCAGGTATGCAATCATAAGGCATAAGTAAGTCTTTGACACATACGTGTATACATATACATACGTTTCTGAGTGTTTGTTTCGTCTCCCGCATCCCTTTCACTCAAATGACGACCCCACTGGTCCACACCATCACCATCAAACCCATTCAAATCGTAACCATCCTCGTCTAGACCTCGTCTATCTCGGATAGAACGGTCACCCCGTTTACCTAAGGTGTCATGCTCGATGCCTGTCACTACATGTGACGAGAGTGCTGTCAGGCCCAGTAGCGCACAGAGACAGGCTTTCATAGTTACTGTGATGTTGGAATTGTCTATAGCATATAGGTTTGTGTCGTTATGTGTATGTGACCTTGAATGTAGCAGCTATAGTCTATAATATATAAGCCTTCGCTCCAAAGTTGTATACACACAAGCATATTTAAAAGTTCAGTGGTGTACTTTTATTTTTTCTTTCTTCGAACGGACGTCGTCCCAACTTCTCAAAAATAAATAAATGAAAGCTTATCTGCTGGGGCCCTGGAGGCTTGGGACTCTGTGTGTGTTTCATTTAGAAGGCTGTGCTCTATGGGAATCATCAGTACGGCCACAATGATAAATAAATAATAATATTGACTATGACGTATTTACAATTATATTGTATCTACAACAGAGCGTGTCGGCGTAGTCACGGTGCGGGACTGCTTGAAATAAATACATAATTATAAAAAATACTGCACTCTCTGAGAGTCTCTGGGGCATTTATTTTACAACTTTGTTTTTGAATATTATATAAAAATATATATATATAAAACACCAAAAACGGTCACAGAAAGAAATAAAACTAAATGCAGAGAGAATAAAACAATCGTCGGCACAAAAGTGCTGCACAACGGTGTCTCAGGCGCCGCCCAATCATCGTGCGGAACTCAGGGTTGGAGTGCTGAACAAGAGCATTGAGCGAACAGTGTTAAATATTTATTTTTTGGATACAAAACTCCCTACATACTCTCTACTAGTAGATACTAGAGACACTGAGAGTCTGAGACAGGGCCAGTCGCCAGACCGCCAGTGTCCAGTTGTGTGGCAGTCTGGCAGTCTCCACTCTCTCTCTAGTCTCTACTCTTTGTCCAGTCTCTCTCTAGAGTCTATACTGACTACTCTCTCTCGACTCTCTCTCTACTATTAGCTAGCTCTACTCGCTAGTACGTTGTAGATAGGGCAGTAAATGAATTTAACAATACATGACTCATATTTATTTATTTGTATTTGTGTAAATATGAGTCTATGACTCACGCCATTACCGTCCAGGAGTCCAGGTCTCCCAGACTCAGGAGACAGGTCACAGGAGGACCAAGACTAATGACTCCAGGTCCCAGGAGTCAGGGTGCTATCATAGAGGAGTTAACAACTCGACATATGATAGGTATCTAAAAGGTATGGTTACAAAATAACAAATCGAAGGCTAATGAAAGAGTGGATATATTGCATAACGAGTTATAATTAGCTTATAATATATATTTGTTCAATCCGATCCGGAAGTATATGTTGAAAACATTATGATTGAGTATGCAGGGTGTAATAGCTTTTTATACTAATAAAAAGTGAGTAATATTTATTACTATTGAACGTTAGCAACGGGATTCCGGCTTTTTCGCGTCACAAGTCACAAATCTGAAGTCTGTTGTGCGAACTGCGAAGTGACTTTTCAGTTTTCACAGAAGTTTCTCTACTCTCTAAAACGAATAGAGCCTGGCCACTGTTGACAACAGGCACACGCGCGAGATGATTGACGAAAAAGAAATATATAAAAACGATATAATTGGAAATAGATCCCTTTTTGTCGCATAATCGGATAATCCCAAGTTCCCAACAAAATCGATACTGTGTTGCAGAAATAGTGAGATAATCGCGTTAACAAAGTACAATAGAAGATACAGGGTCAGTTTATAGGCTACACGCTGTACATCGCATAACATGCACATTCGACGATCTGGCTCAGGTCGCGAATCAGGAGTACTGGGATTAGGACCACGCGGACGAAGCTGTAAGTGGTGGTGTTTATATATATATATATATACATACAAACACACACACACATATATATGCATACACACACACACACACACACACACACACACACACACA